AGTTCTTGAAGAGCTGCTGTCTGTGGGAAACCCACATGGGATTGGTTTGGGAAGGGCAGCATTCTGTGAGAGGGACCCCACATGGAGCAGGGGCAGAGAGTGACTGTGAGGAGATGAAGCATTACGGACTGACTGCAGCCCTTTTTTCCCTATTCCCCTGTGCTGCTTTGGGGGAGGAGCTAGAAAATGGTGGATGGAAGGCAGAAAAGTGTTTTGATTTTATTTATTTATTTATTTGTAGTTTTTGTGCTGCTCTAGCTTGTTAGTAATAGGTAATAAATTACATTAATCTTCCTGTGCTAAGTCTGTGTTGGCCGTGGTGATAATTGTTGAGTGATTTCCCTGTCCTTATCTCAACCCTTGAGCCATTTTCACTGTAGTTTTTCCTTTGAGGAGGGGGAGAGATTGTGGTGGAGCTCATCTGCCCAGCTAAGGAAAACCTCCACAAACTCTGAGGAGCAGGGAGCACTGCAGGGCCGCTACCTCCCCCTTGGGCCACAGCATCTTTGCTGACACACGGGCTGGAGCTTCCCTGCAGATGTCTCCCTTGCATTTTCCAAGTGGCCTTTGCGCGCACCCGGCTCTCTGCAAAACCATTGCTGTGACTCGGATTCGAACCGAGGTTGCTGCGGCCACAACGCAGAGTACTGACCACTATACGATCACAGCTGTGCGGTGGGAGGCCTCGCACGCACCGGGAGCAGAGGCAGGAGAGCGTGCTGGCTGTGATGGACAGCATTGTCCCCTCTCCCGTTGTGGGGCACCTGGCATGGCCTGGGCCATGAAAGCCGGCTATTTTGATCAGGGCAGCTCTGAATGGGCTTGTCTGCTGCTGCTCGGAGCCTCAGCAATGTGGAACAGGGCCCTAAAGCTGCTGTGTAAAACTCTGGAGATGGCGGATGGCAGCCAGGGACAGAAGCTCTTACAAACAACGGTGCCATGTGATGCGCTGCAACAACACAGCAGGGAATATCATGCTGTGGGGCAGGATGTGGGAGGGTATGACACCCTAATATGTCAAAAGTACAGCTCAAGTAGTTGTACAGTAGGCATGTAATTAGTAACATGCTGTGGGGAGCCTCAGAGCTGCCCCAGACGTCTCTGCTCATATCAGGGCAGCTGCCCAGAAGAGGTGGAGTTTTAATAGGAAAAAGTTGAATGGATTTAACGGGAAAGAGTCAGTGATGGGGAGGCCTTTGCATTACCTCGCAGCTTCTGTCCTTTGCAGCACAGGCAGCAGTTGTATTTTTTTTTCCGTTGGATACCCGTTTTCCTGGTGCCCAGCCCTGGGTCTTGAGGGCGGTGCTGAATGTGGAGTGCTGCACACTGCTCTTAGGGGACTGACGGCAGTGCCTGGGGTTCTGCTAGGGACCCTGCAGGCAAGCCCTATTTGTGGCACAGTTTCTCCTCATGAATGTGCATCTCCAGGGCCTCCCGCATGTTCTCATGCAGGAACAGGGCCTAGGGGTCTGCTGCTCATCCAGAGAAAGCTGCTCCTTGCAGCTGTGTGCACATGCCTTAGCATCTGCAAGAGATGGGGAAAGTGGAGTTCTGTGAGAAAGAGTCTGCTGGGACGGGCCCTGTGCTTGGGTGAGGTGGCCTGCTGGCCTCTGAAGATGGGGCACAGCTGCCCCTGTCTAGGATGTGGCCCAACCGTGGGCAGAAGAGGGGACCTAGAAGACCCCAGCACCTGCAGGAATCAGTTTCTGGGCCGAATAGAGCTCTACCTGTGTCATGGTCCTTCATGCACCTTCCCTTGCCTCAGCTCCTAGCACTGAATTGCTGGCAGAAGCAGCACCCCAGCTGAGCCCACCGAGAGGCCTCGTGTCCCATCCCTTGGTGCACTGGGATCCCCACAAACTGCCAGCCTCTCTGCTCTGCCAGGCTTCCCCAGAAGGGCTGCCTGGAGCCTCCCTCCTACCTGGTGGCCTTTGCCTGAGGTGCTGCAGCAGCAGTGCAGGGTGGCCCAGGCCACCAGGAGTAGGACGAGGCCAGGGCCGAGGCAGAGGCAGCCATGCAGCGCCAGCCCCAGGGTGTCCAGCATGCTGGGGCCAGAGACAAGTGTCTGTGCCATCCTCAGGAGATGCTTCTCCATGCGACACAGGCCTCTCCGGCTGCTGTCACCAGAGGATAATGGCAGGAGGGAGTCTGTGAGGTCACTGCCAGCTCTGTGACACCACTGAGCGCATCACAGAGCCCAGGCGCAGGGCACAGACACGGGACCATAGAAGGGCACCCAGCAGGGCCAGGGGCTGGGGGCTCTGCAGGGAGCCCCTAGGCAGGAGGCTGGGGAGAGCCATTCATAGCTGTCAGGAGAGCTGTAAGACTGAGGAAGCCGGGCGTTTCACTGGCCCGAAGGTTCCTGAAGCCTCAAGGCAGTAGTTTAAAACACTGCCTCAAACTGAAGCCCCTCTCTACCTGGCAATTTCTACTCCTGACTCGGATAGTGTTGCTTTTCCTGGCCACGTCTGAGATGTTCTGGTGAGTTTATGGCCGTTGCTTGATGGGTGGCTTATTGCTGTAGTTCTGCCTTTGCCATTTTGGCCGTGGTTGCCAACGCTGAAGGATTTCTTCATAGAGGGTGGTTTTCTAGCCACCCTCCTGGACTTTTCAGCCACCTGGAAATCCTAATGGTGGCCTGGCTGCAACACCCATCATAAGACAGGATCTGGACCAGGGTCCTGCTGTCCGTGCAGAGCAGGCTGCTCCTCCAGCTACATGCACGTGCCTCAGCGCCTGCAAGAGATGGGGGCCATTTTGTGCCCTGAGTAAGAATCTACCAGGACCGGGCCTGGGCATGGGCCTGGTGGCCAGCTAGCAGCTAAAGAAGGGGTCTGACTCCCCCTGGCCTGGATGAGGGCCTGACTTGGGCAGCACAGTGGCCTTGGGCCAAGAGGGACACTGGCATCTGGAGGAAAGACCTTTTCCCCCAGGCCTTGTGTCCAGATGGCAGCCGAAGATGGGCGCCCAACTGCTCCGTTTGGTTGTGGCCCAGCCCTGGGCAGCAGCCAGGCCCCCAGGCTGGCCACAGTCTCCCCAGTCCTGGTGGCCAGCTCAAGATGGGGACCCTTTGCTTATGGCTTTTATGCCCCCTACGTGTATGGCCCTGTGCTGGCAAGAGTTGCTGGAGTCCCAAGAGGAAGAGGAGTGTGAACAGCAGGAGGCTCTGGCCCTCCTGGCAACGAGCCTCAGCTGCCTCTCCCTGGGCTGCAGCACCCAAAATCAAGATCATAGCACAGGACCTGCTGGCCAGTTGGCAGCTGAGGATGGGGCTGGAGATTTTGGTAGCCCAGGCCCTGCTGGCTGGTATTTACAGCTGTCAGGAGAGGGTTCTGAGACCAAGGAAACAGCATGTTTCAATGGCCCAAGTGCTCATGAAGACTCCAGGTAGTAGTTTGAAAGACTTCTTCAAACTGAAGACTTTCTGGTCCACCCCAGAAACGTCCACCTGCCTTTTTATGACCATGAGCCCTCAGATTCTGAGACTTGCAGTGTGTCACAATTGTCTGTCAGCACCAAATCTTTTCTTTCATGCAAGCCACTGCCAAAGGTGCTGCTGCCAAATTCCTGTTCCCAAGGAGACAGGAGTTCCAGCACCAAGGCTGTCAGCTACTCAACACTCTCTTCTTGCCCTAAGGGGTTGAAGCCTGGTCGGTCTGTGGGGGGTAGGGTACCGCCACCCCCCCATTCTCCTCCTTATCACTTGGTATTATGATTGTGTTTTGTTTTTGCTTTATATTTTTCCCCCTTACTTATGAAACCTTGCCAGGAAAAAGAGAAGGAAGTGGGGCGATGTTTGGAACCTGGCCAAAGTCATCCCATGTGCCCATTACACATGATGAAGTTCTGCTTGCCTGGTTTGCCATCTGCATGCCATTGTGAAGTTGTAACTGAATTCCTTAATTTGCTTGGCTTGCACATGCAGCTTTTACTTTACCTATTAAACCATCTTCATCTCACCCCACAAGGTTTTGTCCTCTTACCGCCATCCCGCCAGGGGTGTGAGCAACCTTTGTGGGTCTTAGCTGCCTACCAGGGTTCAACTACGACAGCAGGGGTGCAGACTGCAGGATCCAGGGGCTTCTGAAGCAGTACTTGCTGTACGTGTCTGCAACCAAAGACCCCTCTGGTATCCTCTGTTTCCAAAGTGGCTGCCAAACCTTCCTGTCCCCCAGCTCTCCTGCAATCCCCAAAGCAGCAGGGTCCTTCCTGCAGGGTCCTGCAGAGGATTGTGGTGTGCGGAGGAGCAGAGGAGCCTCCGGTACCTAAGCAGCTGTTAGTGTGCAGCTTTCCTCCATTCCTGGGGCAACAAGCAGCAGCCTTCACCCCTCTGACGACAGGCTGAGTGAGCAGGGGTTTGGCCTGGAGAAAAGAGGGCTTCAGGGAGACTTTATAGCAGCCTTCCATTGCCTAAATGGGGCCTACAGGAAAGCTGGGGAGGGACTCTGTCAGGGAGTGTGGTGACAGGACAAGTGGTAGTGACTTTAATCTAAAAAAGGGTGGATTTCGATTAGGTATTTGGAAGAAATTCTTTACCGTGAGGGTGCTGAGGCACTGGAACAGGCTGCCCAGAGAAGCTGTGGATGCTGCATTCCTGGAAATGTTGTTCAAGGCCAGGTTGGATGGGGCTTGGAGCAGTCTGGTCTAGTGGGAGGTGTCCTTGCCCATGGCAAGGACGTTGGAATTAGATGATCTTTAAGGTCCCTCCCAACCCAAACCACTCTGTGTTTCTGCAGTTTGGCTGAAACAAAAATGGTGTCCCCCTGCCACAGCTGCTGAGGCTGGAACCCACACAGAGGGCCCTCCCAAACTTTGCTACATAAACCCAGTACACCCCCTCCCTGTCCAGCCCCAGCGAGACTCACAAGGCTTCAGGAGGCAGTGGAAGAGCCCTCATCCCACCCCAGCCCCTTGGCCCCCAACGTGAGTGGCTCCATGCCCTGACCAGCCAGCAGCAGCACTCTGCTGGGACTGGGAGAGAGAAGGACACCAATCCTTGATAGTGTGTGAATTAAACCTTTATTTGAGGTTTATTTATTTGCTCCGTGGGTGGAAGCTGGCAGGGCTGCAAAATCCCAGGATCTGGTGCCTGGCTTGTCGGTACAGCACAGGGCTCAGGGGAGGCCGTGCCATCCATCAGCATCAGGGTCCTCCGCAGGATGCTGTGTAGAAATATTCCCATCAGAAAGCTGGGTAGCCTGAACTGGGGCATCTGCTCTGCATCAGGAGGTGTGAGACCTCTTCTTTCTGAGAAGTTTCTCCATAGCTTTCTTCACCCAAGGTGTGTTTGGTTTTGCACAGACCTTGTTCCCGTTCTTAGTCTCAAACCTGATGAGATGAAAGGCAAAGGTTGGTGGGAAACAACAGCTGCAATCCCAGACCCATGTCCTCCCTCTTCCCTTCCCTGCAATCCTTTTCCCTTCCCTGTGGCCCTAGAAGCTCTGAAGAGCCTTCAGGAGCCCCAATGGACTTGCGTCCTTAACCATGCTCTGGAGAAGTGGCCAGAGAGTTGTGTCCTCCCCTCTTTGTGCTGCCAGTCAGCCACCCTGCTGCAGCCCCTCCAGTGGATAGAGGCCATGTAGGCCCATCCGGGTCCCCTGCAGGGGACTGGGTCCTGTCACCAGATGGGATGGAATAAAGCACCTGCAGCATCCCAGGAAACAGTGCAATGGTAGGGAAATTACAAGGACTTACACAATTCCTGGGGAAAAACACTCTTTGGGAGTCTCGTAGAAATCCTTCAGCACTTCATACCGGAGAGCTGGCTTCAAGAACTCAAAGCAGCATTCTGAAGGTGAGTACGGAGCTGGAGAAGGGAGAGAAAGTGAGGTTGTGAATGCTGGTTTGGAAAGCAGTCTTTAAGTCATTTCCCCTGTAAGAAAGCTGACATGCACAAAATCCCTCGATTTCTGCAGCTGCTGCTACAAGGAGCCCCAGGTGACGGCAGGAGGAGGCACCACCAGCCCCATGCCAAGGCCACCCAGCTCAGGGTGCTGTCCCCATCCTTCCCTGCACCACTGGGACCTGCAGCCCCCTCCCAGCCAGGAGCCCTGGGGGTTGCTCCTCCTGCCAACAGCACCGTCCCCGCTGGGCTTTCATCCCTGAGCTCCCCAGGGCAACATCCCCAGCCAGGTCCCCAGCCAGCCAGGGTGCTGGCAGCCCGCGAGGTGCCTCACCTGTGGCGCAGTGCTGGGAGAAGGTGAGGAGCAGCAGGAGCAGCAGGACTGGTCTTGTGCTGAGCATGGTGGCTGTGCGAGGGCTCTTCCTCAGTACAGTGCTGCTCTGCCTCCTCTGAAGAGCTGCGATGTTAGCCCAGGCAGGGAGGTGCTGCAATTTATCCTCTCCACCCCGTCCCCCCTCCCCATTTTAGCTCTTTTCCAAAGAATTGCCACCCACTTCAAGTGAAAGCCCTATGCATTTTCTTAGGGGAAGGGAATTTCCATGTCACGTGGCACCTCTAGGGTTACAGACAGAGGTAATCCCTAGAAAGAAAGGACAAGCAGACCTCAATAACTTCTCTGTAAGCTGAGACTGGCCTGTGGGAAAGCCACAAAGCTGAAGAGGGAAGTGAAAACCTCCTCTACGGAAGCAGAGACTGAAGGGCTCCAAAACCCACAGAGAATGGATTTGTGTTGACAAAAAAGGCAGCACCATGCTTTCAGCACAAAGTCACTTTTCAGCCTGACAGCAAAAAAAAGTATTTAAAAAAAAAAAGTTCTGGAGAAAGTGTGGATCGACTGAATTCCTGGGGGAGCATTAAGCAGGAGTGCAGTGACCACTGCTCCCACCAGTCCTTTGTAGCTCAAAAGCTGTAGGATGTCAAGATGTCAAGTACTGTCAAACATTGTGTCACAACTGCAGCTGTTCCTATGGAGAGGAACACAAGTTTTCCCAAAAAAATCCTCTTCAGTAATTGAGGAGAGTTGGGTGAAAGAAGAGTTGGGTGCAGCAGAGTCTTCCCTTGCAGATGAGGCTGCTTTAGCCTTCTGGCTGTGGGGCAGAGCAGGAGGCTGAATCAGGCTGAAAGATGTAGAAGGAAAAGTTTGTGTTTCGAGTTCTTGAGTATTTTTCCTACGTCTTCCTTCTCTTTGCAGCCTCGCAGCCTCCCAGATCCTGCAAGGACATGCAGAAAGGCATCGCTGATGGGGGCTACTTCTTGGGGAATGCTTCACCCCACTCTGCCCTGATGCTTGTTCTTTCCCTGTTCCCTCTTTTCTGCCCAGCTGTGAGTGAGTGTGTGGAGCAGCAGGGTCCCACACAGGTCCTAGGGGCACCACGGTCCCCCCTCACCCACTGTACGCTGCCCAAGGGGTCACCACAAGCCCTTGTTCACGTTGGCACCCCCCAGCTATCCTCTGTTGCTTTGGAGCAGGGCTCGAGCGGGATATTGTGCTGGGCATCGTGTCGTCCCTGGCTGCCTTTTAAAAAACTTGGGGGAAAACTGCAGAATCCTAAGGCCTGCTCTTGCCATGCCCAGATCTCCTTGACCTCAGCTGCAGCAGGAGACATATCTCCCACTCAAGAAGGAGCCCCAGTGGTGTATGCCAAAAGCTGGGCAGCGGAAAAAATTATTAAATACTCAGAACACCGCAGCAGAGTTCCTCCGTCCCAAAGATGTGACTTCTCCCAGAGGAGCTGGCATGAGGTCACCAATGCTGTGTGGCCCCCAGTCAGGGGGCTGGAGCAGCTCAGCACCAAGCCCCCACCAGTGAGTACGCCCACAGCTGGTGTAAATCAGAAGATTTACACCCTTTCCCTGGGGCACCGCACTGCTTGCACAGGGATAAGGCAGCGCTGGACATGGCATCGCCTGGAGAGCACAGCACGGTGGCTGGGGACAAGGATTCCTTCCAGAGCTGTGCTGCTCCTTGTCTGCTGGCACTCCTGAAGCAGGATGCTGGAAGCAAAGCTTCTCAATTTATGTTTTTCTTTCACCCCTGCGAGCTGTCATTCAAAGAAAGTGAGTGACAGTGCTCACCAAGCTCCCTGCGAAGCCAGGCGTGGCTGGAAGAAGGATGAAGCCTTCTTTTTGGGAAGGACAGTACCCGTGGGGCTGTCTCCTCAGCCTGCGTATAGTAGCCACAAGCAGAGGTCAGGGCCCCCTGCCCTGCTCACAGAGATTCACAGAGGTGCTGCAACACAGGAGCAGACTCCTGAGGTCAGTGTTTGGCATGCTGTGCTCCCTCCAGGTGTCCAATCCCAAAGACAGCTCGTGGCAAGAGGTGCCATCAGCTCCCACGTCGTTGGGACCTAGCTGGTGAACCTGCCACTCTTTCAGTACAAGGATTTGTGGCTGATTTATGACTCCAGGCTGTTTTAGGGTCAGAGCAAGCCCCCTTGTGCCTTGAGTGCACAGCCATCGATACAAGGACACGTCCTCTTCAACAGTCATCCTCCAAGCTGGAGGCAGAGCCACGGCCAGGGGCACCGCGCCATTGCCTGCACTCGTGTCCTGGTGTGGGTGTGCACGTGTGTGTGTACGTCTCCCTTGGCAGAAGTCAGATGGAAAGGGAAGATACTGGACAATGGTTAAGCTAACCAGCTTACAGGGATCTCCGGCTGGCCAGAGCAATTACGCAACTCCTTGTGTTTCTTTCCTCATCAACAAACTCTGCCAATTCACCAAAAGGGCTTCAACCCCCAAAGCAATGTGTTGTCAGACCATAAATGAGAAAAGTTCCCAGTAGGGAACCTTTAAAAATCCAAGAACCCTGGAAGCACAAGGTAGGCTAGAATAAAAACAACACATTTGTAAATAGATCGCATAACCCAAAAAATTGGTGTCATTCCTACTGGCATGCCTTCAACCCAGTGACTCAACAGCTCCCAGGGCTACAATAAATTCCTCATGCTACTGGTCCATGAAAGCATCTTGTCTTCCTCCCACAGGCTTCGTGGGTGCTCCCTTCTCAGCCAGTTTCCCATTTCTGCTGTGCTGCAGGCTCCCTTCTTGCAAACTGGTAACCCCGAGCTGGGCACGTGGACCATGGCACAGCTCCTGATGCTGCGTGGTTTGGCTGCATTTTTATATTGCTTGTGATATGTGTAGGACCAGGGCCACTGAGCAGGTGGCCTGCTGCTGTCATCTCCATGGCAGATGTCCCCAAAGTGGGGGGACACAGGCTCCCCCGCAGCCAGGACACCCACACCGCCACCCAGGGGAGTGCACAGCCTTAACTACACCTAGGGCAAAACCACTTGGGCTGGACCCCAGGCAACAGAGAAACATTTTGGAAACCTGTAGGGAATGATCTTGCTGCCTGCCTTCCCCTGGCCTGGGGCTTTACCCAACCAGCCGTGCAAGGGAGAACTGCAAGCACAGGAATACCCAGCACAGGGATATCCAGAGGCTGCTCTGGATGGAAAGAACCTGGAGAAGTAAGTAAAATACTAGCGTGGCCCCACTTCTGCAGAGCTGTGCTTGTTTTTCTGGCAGAAGAGCTGGCCCGGGCTCCTCTACTTCCCCTTTCTCGTGTTTTCAAGCGATCCCTATCACAGCTAGACAATTCACAACTCCCTGGAGATCCCTTGATGTCTATTCTTTTACTTTTTGGGAAGGGAAAGGCTGATGCACTGTCATTAACTGAGGGATGCTGGAAAGCCCCACAGCTGACCCAAGTTCCCTTCTCAGCTGAGCAGGCTGTGGAGAATTTGCTTGTTTACATGAAAAATAAACATCATTATCTTGATTCTGCAGAAGGAGGAAGAGAAGAGCTTGGGGTAGGGTGTTTGCCAGCACCTGTGCCACTGTGGGAAAGAAGGATTTTGGCAGAACGAGCCACGCACCTGGAAAAGGAGTCTCAGCAGATAACTGAGCGTTCCCATCTCTGCTGGAAACACACAGCTGGGAGCAGCCGTACTGTCTTTACACTGCTTTGGAAGGTCAGGCTCTGCTCTCCAGGTGGTCCTAGATCCATTTTAAAGCCCTGGTTGATTCATAAACGTGATCACAAAACAAACGTGATGCTCTCATTCCTTGCCGGAGTTCATGCTGAGACTCTGGGTACAACTGTGCCAGCTCCTAGAGGCCGGAAAGACACTTCAAAAGGATAAAAACAAGAGGCTTTTCCAAAGCCTGCTTCCTACAGCTGGACACTGGGGACCACCAGGCACTGGAAACTGGTGATTGACCAAGGCGTATCCTGTGCGGTAAGTCCTGCCCAGAGTCACAAGTTTCAAAGGCTGCAGGAAGGGTATGTCCAGGAGCCTTTCTCCAGAGGATTATCTGCACTGAGTCACTGAGCAAGCTTGCCCATCGTCTCCGGGAACTGAGAGGGTCTTCCCTGTGCCCCAGAGACTAGAAACTCACTCCAGCCAGGCAGTAGTCAACATAGCCAAGCAGAGCAAGGGCTGGAGGTACCTGGACCAGAAACTGAAAGTAGCCACTTTGCTAAGAAAAAGAGGGGGTGTGGGGGGGAAATGTGTGATGCCAGTTTCTTCAAATTTAGGCACGTAGGCAGGGGGAAAGTGACAGAACTGGAGGAAGGATATGTCCATACAGGCAAGAGCCCTGACTGTGGAGGCTAATGCAGGATCCTGCCTGATAAAGCTGAAGATATAGCTGAAGATAAAGCAGAAGCCACCTGATAAAGCTTTTTTTTTTTTTTTTTTTTTTTTTTAGGTTGGATGTTAAGAGAAACTTCTTTACCGAAAGGGTTGTTAGGCATGTTAGGCATTGGGATGGGCTGCCCAGGGAAGTGGTTCAGTCACCATCCCTGGAGGTCTTTAAAAGACGTTTAGATGTAGAGCTCAGTGATGTGGGTTAGAGGAGGATTGGTCAGTGTTAGGCCAGAGGTTGGACTCAGTGATCTTGGAGGTCTCTTCCTGCCTAGATGATTCTGTGAAAGCTCTTTTCAGTGCACATCCTCCAGACGTGTGGATGGTGAACTAAAATGTGTATACCTGGGACATGCACTGAAAAGGAGATGCTTCTTCCATTTTTCTCCAGTGAGTTTGAAGGACAGACCTGGGGTGTCAGGAGAAGTTACTGCTTCCAAGGGAAAATCTGTGCTGGGGAAGCTTCTATGAAATGTAGAATTTGGGGGGTGGAATAATGTTTGGTGAGGACTCAGCCTCCTTTTTTCAACCCTGTCCTTTCTTGAGCTCTTCGAGTTAAAGATAGAAATGGAGAACTAAAGCAAAGCAATGATAACAGAATAAAACTAATTTCAGCTGGAGCTGGGAAGCCTTTAATGATTTAGTCCTGATAACTCCAAGAAGACAAGTTATGAACTTGTTCCTTAGTTTTTCAATAGGATAAAAGCCAACACTCTCAAGAACAATAATTGACAGTTGAAAGAATGCAATGAGAAAAATACTTTAAGTTTCCTAGATATATTATAGTAAAAAAAATATTTGTGCTGAATACGGCCTGAGCTGTCAAGTTGACATCCCATATTTTCTTAGAGGACTCTTCTCACTTCCTTCTA